TTTGAAGTATTTTCTATATGGAAATACATCAATCAAAGTCCACTATTGCAAATAAAAATTCTGATGGAACAGATTCATCATTGTACCTTCAAACAAATCCTTAGTATTCAATGCTAAGTTTTCTTTCTCCATTTCACTGTTCCAGGTATCTTTTATGCATGATAGTTAATTTTTCTACATCCAACACCTTTAGTTTCGCTACTATTGTTACTGTTTTTATATTTGATCAATTAACCTGGTGTCTTCAAAGAATTGCTACCTATCATAACGTTTTGTCAAATTTCACAAGGTAGAACATTTCCCTTTATCCCCCAAAAGATGTTTCTAGTTGGTTCTTCTCCAAAATACTGTTCTCACTTTTAATAAAAATTAGCCTTTCCAAAATTAAATCAAAATCCCAAATTGTCCAATTTCCAAAAATGTGTCAATTTAACGTCCATTAATCAATTAATCCTGGATTTAAAATTTCTAAGCCTCAGTCATAAACCAGGTTACTTTATCCACACGTTCTTTTCTTTTCAAATCAAAGTAATTAGTTACTTTATTTTCTAATATCAAATGAATAATGTGATCACTTTCTCAACTTCTGTGTACAATTTGTTTGCTATTTTCATTTTATTTTCTGATTTTATTCTAATCACACAAAGTCATACTATGTAATCACAAACAAACAATAACACAACAAACAAAAACATAAAACATTTAGTCTCGTCGTGGTCAGTCACAGTCAGTCTATTATCTACATTTTTCTTTCGCTCAAATTTGTTCAAAAGTATATATTGAAACTTCAAATATTTTCCAAATGTTTTAGCATTTTTTGATGTTTTCCTGTTTAATTTAGTCTTCAAGATTGTAATTACCATGTGCACATTCTAAAAAGATCACTACCTTTTATTAGGGCCTTATAACAATTAGTAATTTCCTGCTGTTGAAACATGTTGTCAGTTTCAAAAAAATATAGATTCATTTCCTTTATTTTAGAATGATCTATTCCATTTTAGATGCATCAAAATACTTAAATACCACTGTCTCTATAATTTTCAACAATTTAAGTTCTCAACAAATTCCTTCATTAAGGAGATTCCTTAAATTTCAACTTACTTCCATAACTTAATAGTTTAAAGACCTCTTAAATTCTTTATTTTATTCCCAGGATTGTTCTAATAAATTTATTGTTGTTGATGTTTATCTTTATTAATTTCTTTACTATTTTGTTAAAGATCACTGCCCTTTTCTTAAAAGAAAACTTTCACAACAAACATATTTATCTTTTAGGAAGATTTAAACCTTCAAGATGACTCTATTTTTTTCCAAAACACTTCACATTATAGTTTTAAAGTTCATCACATCATCTTACTCATTAATAATTTTTTAATTCGCAGAATTTTATGATGTTTTTCCCTTGCAAAACATAAATGGTTATAGATTCACTTCTAAACTTTCTTGATCTTTTGTTCTCAATATTCAGGGATCACTAGAACAACTTTTCAGAATTTCTCCATTGTAGAATCATTAAAAACATCTATTAATGCGTTCTTTGTTTATTTGATAATTCTTATATGAACAGATTAGCAAGCAAACAGTCCTGGCTGTGATCACAATGTGCATAAAATATATTACCCTTAATATATTTTATATACTTTTTCCTTGTTTTTGTATAGTTCTTAGGTCACTTTTAGTTATCAGCTTTATTGCTGCATTTGTCCTTTCTCACCAACTTGCAACCTCCCCACAGGAGATTCATAACCAGCACATTCCTAAGTTATTCTGATCTTATCACTAGAACTAATAAAACAGCCTTTTTCTCTCAAAGCATAAATTGAGACATTAAACTAGATAATGTCCTCTCAAAAGATCACAGTACCAAATTAGTATTTTCTTTACAGTTGTACATTAATATAAAAGTATATTTATTTTTACAAACTGTCCTAAAGAATTTTAACTAATGTTTGACAAGGTATGTTTACCAATTTTTAGACCCAGCGTTTTGATGTTAAAAATTTACATTTAACATTTCCATATTATTTCATTAATCTCAATTAATTTGCTTGCTTAAACAATCCACTCTAAAAAAAAAATGGTTCTTTGAACTTAGATTGGCCATAAAACAATTTCACACCTCCTTCACAAACTTTCCCTCACCTTGTGAAAGGAAGTATTTCATGGCAGCAGGAGAAATCTGCTGTTTCATTCAGATTTTAGCATTTATATCTCAAATTCATCTTTTAACTTAAATTGTTTGGGGTACTTCTGTTTACATTCTTTAACCTTTTATTGTGCACTGATGTTTTGTCATCAGGACTTGTTCTCACCTTTATATGACAGCTTAAGATGTTGAACTGCTGTTTAGATCTGCTATTCAAACTATTTTCTTTCTGTTGAACCAGCTGCAAGATCAGGGGGATAAGGCACAGCTACAACTTCTGCCTATTGTAGTTCCTATTGTGCCTATTGCCTGTTGTTCTCCTGAACAGACCTGTTGCTTTGTCCCGCTTACTTTATTTTCAACATTGTCTCCTGTTGATTTTGTATTTTTATGTTTATCCATAACACTGAGATCATAGCATTAACTTTCTGTCAGTCATTTGTGTCCCAAATATTTCATCTTTCATCTGCACATTTGGAGTTTTGTTGTTGCTAACTTTGTAGTTTTCTTTAGCTAAATATTTCAAACAAGGCTAAAGTTTCCTTTTATTGGGGTCAATTTATTAAGTTCTAGTTCATAATTTTTTCGCTCATCCTGAAATTGTTTTGAAACACAGAGTTATCCTAAACTCTAAATACAGCATTTCTCCAGTCAGCAATCAATGCTGAATCAGAGCTGAGTGGGGTTTATTTGGGCAATCTAATGAATAATCACAGAACAGTTGTCCTGCTCTTTTGAGGACATCTGTTTTTCTCCTGACTTTTCTATTTAGTTTCATTTTTGTTTATTATATACCTAATTTATAATCACTTGTAATCATGTCACTACATTTTGATATCCTCAATTGTTTCAAATACTGTTTTTCCCATTAATCAATAAGTTATTTCAAACTTTATCCTTTTTACATCCTGTAAATTTTAGCAAACTTTCCTGTATTTAATCAATTTCTATTTATCCAGAGAGTTACCTCTAGTTTATCCTGTACTATAATTATCAATAAGTTCTGTATATCTAATAATATTTATCCATTTTAATAGAGTTTTGTTCATTGTTAAAAGAATGTTATTTGTTAAGGGCTTCTCTCTCTAAAGTTCTGCTCTCTTTTTTTTTTATAATCAATTCATAAAATGTCCCTATTGTAATTTTTGTTTTTTTATTTTATTCCTCCTTTTGACCTCATACAAAGTCCATCATGATGTTTCTCCTCATATTCTGGAGGTAAGGGCAACTCAGGGTATAATCTAGCACTCTGTTCAACATTCTTTTTAGATTTTTTCTCTCCAATCTCTCATTTTTGTGCTACTTCTAACCAAAATTTTACATCACACCCTTCTTTGTATATATATATTTTTTTATTTGAATTTGTTTTTTGTTTTATTTTATCTTGCAGTAGAATTAATTTCTGTATGTTCAGACTGCCATCAAAATGATACTTTGTTATCCATTTATCTAAGTTTTTATTTTACACGGATCCTGATCTTAATGAACTTCCAGTCGTTTGATTTGAGACTGTCTACTGGATTAGTTTTAGTGATCTCTTTCCCCATTTTTAAAATTTTTTAAATAAAATTTAGACCAGTTTCAGACTGATCCTTTGGACCTAGTCTGGCGAGGAGTAGCTGTATATTTTGGAGGTGCTCTTTTGATAGGTTGCAAAGGCACAGAGGGTGTTGCTGCTGCTGCTGCTGCTTCCTCTGGCTCTTGCATATCTCCTGCTTGCTCAATTAATCCCTGATAGGGTCCTGGCATAAATTCATCATCTTCCCTTCTATAAAACAACACTTTCTTTTCTTTCTCTTCACCTCTTTCTTTCTCTGCCTCTTGTTCTTTTTTTTCTGCTCTTTTGCTCTTTTTTCCCTTCTTCTCTCTTATTTGCCATTTTCATCCACACTCCTGTTTGTTCATACCTTCTTTATTCATCAGTTTTTCTTTGCCCTTACATTTTTCTCTTATTTTCCTTCTCAATTCTGCAATGTTTGCAGTGCTTAAATTACCATTAAAGCCATATTTGTGTACCCAGTATGCCAGTGGTTCAACTGCTCCTGGTTCTTGTTTCTCAACTACCTTCCAATCTTTACAAATTCAACCTTCTAGTTTTATTTCTTTTTTCCATTTTTAACTATGTTTTGGTCCAGTGTGGGGTAACACCTGGTGTGTTCTAACACTGGAATATTTTCAGCAAGATGGTGATAAAACTTCCTGTCTGTGGTAAAGTTCACTTCAACTCTTTTGATTGGAACTTTCTTGCCTACATGCAGCCACAGAGGGTCACCATTTACTTCCTTGCTGTTTTGGTATGAAATCAAGTATCCAGTGATACTTAAATTTCCTTTCACTCTCACATACACACTCTGTTTTTTGTCACGGAATTGAAGCGCCTGTTTCGCTGGACTCCGCCGTCCATTTGAACACGGGTATTAGTCGGGCCCCGTTCCCACAACAGGTGGGGTTTGTAAGATCTCAAACCAGGTGAGGTTGCAAAATACCGAAGCAGGTGAAGTTTGCCAGTCTTCGTCCCAGTAGGGTTTTACAAGACCTCCAGCTAGGTAAGGTTTACAAAGCATTATTTTCTAGTTTTTTTATGATTTATTATTTTTCTTTTCTTTTTCTTTTTATCACTCTTTTATTTCTTCACTCTTTTATTTCTTCAAGCAGGGAACTCCGTCATCCCACGGACTTTAATTACTTCTATGAGTAAGGACTCCGCCGTCTTCACAGAATTTAACTGCTTGTTTTAAGTTACCTGATAGTGTCTAGAATTGTCAGGGTTTTATTTCTTCACTTCTTATTCTCTATTTTATTGCAATATCCATCATTCACCACTTCTTTTTAAAAGAAATTCCTACTCACTGATATGTGTCAGTCTTCCCCTGGATGTCCACCAACCCCCCGGATCCCAGCCTGTGAGAAAGGACCAGTCCCGGAAAGGGTCTTAGTGCTGTGGCCACAGAAGACTGGCTGAGAAATATTCAATGACCTGAACAAGTTATGTCACAAGAATTTGAGATGATGTTGAGTTTTAATCAGACAGGAAAGCATCCAGGCCACTAGGGGGGGAAGATTTCTGAGATTACATTTAGGATTCTGATATTTTCATGTAAAAAGTGTGAATTAATATTTTCAAAAAGTCAGAGTTCTAGCTTTTTTGACAATCTGAATTCTGGGAAAATTTTGAATTCTGAGATTAAAATAGAAATTTTGATCAATTAAAAAAAATTAATTGAATTGTTTTTTTTTCCCAAAAAAAATTCTGAACTCAAAGAAATAATTAACATATGAGGAAAAAACAAATTTTGAGATTGAAATTAGGATTTTGAGTCTAAAGGTGGAATTTTTGACATTTTCAGAAACATTTTTTAAAATTCTGGGGAAAATCCAAAAGTTTTTAGATTAATTAGAATTTTGAGATTAGTGGTAGGATTCTAATATTTAGAAAAAAGTCAGATTTCAGAGAAAAAGCCAACATTTTGAGATTAGATTAGATTGAACAGGATATTTTAGTGGCCATAATCTTCTTCCATATGGTAAGTGTAATCAAATTCAACATTTACTCAGGTTTTCAAGAAAAAAACACAAATATAAGTCAACTTCCAACATGTATTCTCCTGTTTTTCCTCATGGATACAATATCTTCTGCTTTACAGCAGGAATGTATTTAAAAGCAGTAACATATATTCAGGTCATTAGTTGAAATGAAAGTTGTGTTTTTGTTTCCTGCCAGCGTTCCAGCATTATGCTGCCATCAGCGACCTGACGCTGCCTAAAGCCCTGCAGTTGGAGCTGAAGGGAGACATCGAGGATTGCCTCATCGACATCGGTGGGAAGGCCTGTCACCAAAACTCATCAATCTCCCAACTAATAACATGATTAGTTATTAATGCTCTGACATATGCAAAATATATTCATTTCTAAAGAAAATTTAACATTTTAATTCAGAATATTAGAAATAAAACGAAATATGATGAATTGCTCTCTCTAGTGGTGGTTCTAGATATGGCAGCATTTATAAATCCAATAATTTCCACATTTACATCCTAATCAAATGTTTGACTTTTCAATCTCAGAAAGTGTTTTACATTTTGAGTGTTTAACTTTTTTTATTTTTTCAAGTTTTCAGACTAGAGTGTAAACTGAGCATTTCTCAAAATGTTCTGAAATTAATTTAAAAAGTTTAAAAACTAAAATTTCAGCATTTTTTGGTAGAAAAGTTTTGGAATTAATCTCAAAATTTTGAGTTTCTTCTATAAAAATTTTGACTTTTGGAGCTCAAAGATGTTTCTAAAAATTGTTTTTTTAGCATGAATTTGCTATTTTTTCCTTATCTGCAAAGACCCTAATATGTTGTTTTACTCTTAGACTCGGATCCCAAACTGAACAGAAATTGTTTATTTTTTAGTATGCTGCGTCCATCAGAATCCTGCTGGTTTAAATGTTTCTCACCTTTTTGTTCATCTTGAAAAGTTTCTGGTTGAGCTGAACCTGAAGCTCCACAGCTGGAGACACAGAAACATCTGGACTCTGTTATTTTTGTCTGTGACGGAGTTTTTATTTTCTGTTTCCTCTTTCATGTCCAGTGAAATGCGCCTGGAACACACCGGCTTTCTTTGCTGAGAAACTCAATCGGGCCATGAAGGTGAGTGAACGCGTCTGCTGCTCCTAATCCCACTAATAACATGGATAAAATAGGGATTATTTGGATTATTACGGCTACAGTGTTCATATTTTACCATGTTTTAATAAACTCCTTAGTTTGGAGTCATATGGAAAGCCGTCTTAACATAAAATTGTTTTTTTCTGTTTGTAATTAAATTCCAGATGTGTGAAAAATAGTTTTGTATGATGCCGTATTAATAGCAGTGGAGATAGAAAAAGGAAGAACACTAATGCTAAAAAAGCTCAAAGTTTTAAAATCTCAGGAATGCTATGAAAAAATAGTTAAAAATTGTGATTGAAAAGTGAAATATTTGCTGGAAAATCTCAAATTTTGACTTTAATCTCAGTAAATTGCTAGAAAATCTTTTGACATTTCTGAGTTTATAAAGTTCAAAATATGCAAGAAAAATTTAAATTTTAAGATTCATCTAAAATGATAAATTTCTGAGGCTGAAAAGTTGAAAATTTGCTAGAAAAACTTCAGAAATGTTTAATTTAATCTCAGAAATGTTGCAGAAAAAACAGAGATTCTGAATTTGATCATTATAAACTTTGTTGGAAAAAAATGACATTATTTATGTTTATCTCAGACATTTTCTAGAAAAAAATAGGACAATAGAAAGTTGAAAATTTTAATCTTTTGACAAGAAATTCATTTATAACATGATGTATGTTGTATGTAAAATAATATGACAGTGAACCACAACTTTAAAAAAAAATCAATATAAAGAAATTATTGACTTAAAACAAGCTCCGATGTCTTTGATTTTTGAGCAAGATGTTGTTTTGTCTTATTTAAAGTGTTTCAAGACATTTGCACTAGAAACTAAACCAAAACCATTTGGTAAGATTTTGAGTTTTTGCAGTGTAGAAAGGACCTTTTGGCAAACTATATTTCTAAGATTGTTGACAGTTTATTATGCCACATACAGTTTTTTGTTACATTAACATAACATAATAATTTAACCTAACTAAGATCCATGAAAAGGAATCAAAATGTCCAACTCAAACATCATGTGGTCCATTTTGTGCCTTACCAGGGCCACGGTACGAGGGATCAGACTCTGATCCGGATCCTGGTGAGCCGCTCCGAGGTCGACCTGCAGAAGGTCGTAGAGGAGTACCGGGCAATGTTTGACAGAACCCTCCATGAGGACATCGTGGTAAAATACGTTTCCCAAACTGTTTCTATGTTTAAGTTTCAAACCACATCAATAATGCTTTTTTATTTCTGTTTTAACAGAACGACACCAAAGGACATTATCAGAAAGTCCTGCTGGCTTTGTGCGGACCGTACTGAAAACCTGAAGACCTGAAAACCTGAAATCCTGAAGACCTGAAGATCTGAAAACCTGAAAACCTGAAGACCTGAAGACCTGAAAACCTGAAAACCTGAAGACCTGAAAACCTGAAAACCTGAAAACCTGAAAACCTGAAGACCTGAAAACCTGAAAACCTGAACCTGAAAACCTGAAGACCTGAAAACCTGAAGAACTGAAGACCTGAAAACCTGAAAACCTGAAAACCTGAAGAGCTGAAAACCTGAAAACCTGAAAACCTGAAAACCTGAAGACCTGAAGACCTGAAGACCTGAAACCTGAAAACCTGAAAACCTGAAGACCTGAAGACCTGAAGAGCTGAAAACCTGAAGACCTGAAAACCTGAAAACCTGAAGAGCTGAAAACCTGAAAACCTGAAGAGCTGAAAACCTGAAAACCTGAAGACCTGAAAACCTGAAAACCTGAAGACCTGAAAACCTGAAGACCTGAAGACCTGAAGACCTGAAGACCTGAAAACCTGGAGACCTGAAAACCTGAAAACCTGAAGACCTGAAGACCTGAAAACCTGGAGACCTGAAGACCTGAAAACCTGGAGACCTGAAAACCTAGATCTGTGAGGAAACAAAAAATAAGTCAAATTTATGCTCTAATAAAGTTTTTCTTTCCATTTCTGTCTCTTTGTTTTAATGCTGCTTGTAGAAAAAAATGCAAGCAGAAAAAAATACAGGAAGAATGAAAAACTTTGCTTGTTTATTTGTTTCAGTTTTGAGATTATATCTGGAAATTGTGTTTAAATGGAGACGTGTCTGATCCAACATGCCTGCAGGAAGAACATTATATAGTTTTATACTGAGATTAATTGACACAAATTCAATAAAAATAACGTATTTATCCCAAAGGGAAATTAAATGTTTTAAATGATATTATCTAAGGTTCTTCAGAGTTCACCAGAAACAGACAACCTTCACTTCCTCCACATGAATATGTTTTTTATTCACTACATAACAGACTTTTGATGCTTCTTTACAGTGTATTGTTTTTTCTGCAACTGTTTAAAAGTTATGGATCCCATTTGATTGAAAAAAACAAAACTTGTATCCCAGTTCCACATCTCCACTAAAACTTTGCTATTATGAGTCATAATAGTGATTTAGTCGATTGAGCCATAATTATGAGATAAAAGGCTTTACTTTCACTAGATTGGCAGAAATGAGTTTCTTTAAAACGTTGCAATACATCTGTTGTACTAATGATTTAAAATACTGTTTTTAAACTCCAAAGATCAGTTTTTATTTGTACTTGATGTAACTGACAATTACCTGTCAAAATAAACTGTGATTTCTTTTAGTACAGCAGAAAAAAACTTGAAGTATGTCGATGTAATTGTTTTAAATAGAATTTTATTTACTGTCACTTACTTTGTTTTTGCATTGTAAAAATGTTTTGGCTCAGCAACGGCAACAAAAAGTAAAAAGTAAAACAGAAGTAATTGAACAATCAATTGAAAAAGAAAACAACAAAAAAAACAATTAGCAGGTTTTCATTTTGCACAAACAAAATAAAAATGTTATGAAAATGTAACTTTTTTAGACAAAACAATAAATATATTAATACTAGAATTCCAGCACAGAGCATCTGATTAGATACAAGAGATATTGTTCAGAGTGAGACCTCTCGCCTCGCTGCAGCAAACAGAAAGGGGCGGGGCTTGGCTCTGAAAGAAGAAACTACAAATCAGGTAAGAAGTTCTGCAACATCTGTCACATTTACTTTCAGTTTGAATCCACCGTTTAAGGTGTTTCTCTGATTGTTGCTCAGATTTTCTTCATCAACCATTTGGATTGATTGAACAAACAGTAAGTTTTAATTTTTTTTATCCTTCTTGAACTTTGAGTTTAGGAACTTTCCTGCTAGTTTTTGCTCTCTGATGTTTAGAGAACATGTTCACTGCTGATTCAGATCCAAACATCCCATTTTCAAGGAGTCACTGGTTTCATCTTTCATTGTTCAGGTTCCTGAGTCAGAATCCAGAACCTCCTGTAAATCCTGGAGGTTGAATGTTCAGGTTCTCCTCCCAAACATCCAACAAGCTGCCAACTCAACAGGTTCTGGTTCTGATAACTTTTATCAGTCATATTTGGATCATTTAAAAACCCTTCATCAATAATCAATAATCAGACGTCATTCAGGTTGTAGTTTCCCCACCAACGAAGAGTCCAGTTGGTTCCAAGTTAAAACAGGTTCTGGTTCCATTAGAGCTGAACAGAACCTGAATCAGAATAACAGCAACAGAACATTTGTGTTCAAACTGAGAGTTATGAGTAGATTTTATGTCTTCAGACGTCAACAGATAAACTTTCATCTGACAGTTCTCAGTCAAACCAGTCAAACCAGTTTGGCCTGTGAAGGTTTGGTACCAGTCTGGTTCTGTTGGGTCTCAGTTTGTTGATCACATATTCTTGTTCAACTCTTTGGATCGTCTGAACAAACTGTAAGTTTGCTTTGTTTTCTACATGAACTTTGTCTTCAGAAACTTTACAGCCAGTTTGTTATTTTTCTCTCTGATGTTTGGAGAAAATGTTCACCTTTAATTTCAGATCAAACTTTAATCTCTGTTGTTTGAAGGTTAATCTACAGGATTATTGATGAACTAGGATAAAAGAAGATGAACATTTGATGTTTTTGTTCTGGTCTGAACAAATTGACTCATGATTTTTTCCCCCATTACATCAAACTCTGGTCTCCACCATAAAAGACAAAAACAACAAGTTTGTCCTACTTTCATTCAAAAGGAAGTAGGACATATGTTGCTATAGTAAGATGTGTTTAATTCAGTCAAATTACTTGATACTTAATCTGAATTGCATTTAATCCACTTGTAGAGATTAATAATTAACTAAAATCCTTCCTGTTCAGGTTGAATCAGTGAATGTAAATGTTGCTCCATGTCTCTATCTAGTGGACTGATAGTAGAAGTGCAGCAGCTGATGGCAGCTTCCTCTGCCTCTCTGCTGTCTGACTGCATTCACCTGACACTGATATGAAGCAGAGAAGAAGAGCCAATCAGAGGAGGAGCAGCTGATCTTTTTCCAGCACTAATGATGTAAAGGATGATCAGAGTTGATGTGCAGATGAATGATGTGTGTTTCCTCTGCGGTGAAGCTAGAAAGTGTGTGTGAGCTGATGTGGATTCAGCAGCATGGATCAGTGTGAGGACAGAGAGGAGGAGTCCCTCCCTCTAAACCACTCTGTGTGGGGAAGATGAGAGCCAGAGCAAAGGTCAGAGGTGAGGTCACCATCTCTAACTGTCCACAGCCCTTTTCACACAGCGTTCACTATATCAGGCCAGAACAGACGTGGTGATGAAGCTGCTGCTGCTCCTCTTTGCTGATTCAGTTTTAATCATCATGTTTCTGTCAGGATCCATCAGAGACTCAAACCAGAACCAGAACCAGAACGCAGCTGTGTGTCCTTAAAGAGCAACAGATCAAAAGCTGAAGGCATTCTCTTTAAATCTTCTAGCGCCCCATCATCAGAGAGGTTAGTTGTTTCAAACTCCTTTAACTCTTCTGTTTATGTCTATTATTGTGGCCATGTGATGATAAGTTCTGTTGGGTTCTGTTGTCATGAAAACATTAGACTGAATTTCAGGTTATTTTCTTTTAATATGTCACATCAATACATTGATGTCTCCATGTTTACATGGTCCAATAATCAACTTAGGAACTTTGTATCATGGACTTTCTTAGTCTCTATCAGAACCAAATATGTGTATTTTGGGTTTTTGGTGACTAGATGGGACAATGGCCTCCAGAATAAGAACCAAGAGCTGATAGGTGTTGAACCCAGAAGGCCATACAAGTTACTGACTGCTGTGGTGGAGTCATTGTTAATGCTGTTGTCATGTTTACTGGGGGCTGCACAGTGGCACAGTTGATAGCACTGTTGCCTTGCAGCAAGAAGGTCCTGGGTTCGATTCCCGGCCCGGGGTCTTTCTGCACGGAGTTTGCATGTTCTGTGCGTGCGTGTGTTCTTTGCGGGTTCTCCGGCTTCCTCCCACAGTCCAAAAACATGACTGTCAGGTTGATTCTCCTTAGGTGTGAGTTTGTGTGTGCATGGTTGTTTGTCCTGTTTGTCTCTCTGTGTTGCCCTGTGACAGACTGGCGACCTGTCCAGCTGGAGATAGGCACCAGCACCTCCCGACCCCGTTAGGGAGAAGGGTGATGGAAAATGGATGGATGGATGTTTACTGGATTAATTGGATTTTGTTCACAAATGGTTTCATCTGACTGGAATAAATTTGAATTTGAACAACTAAGGCAACCTCTGGGATTGACTTTACATGCAATGAATAAGTACAACGTTAGCAGCTCAGTTCGTCTTAAAAAAGCCGCAACAGATAAAAGCTTAACACAGTACTAAACTGGCTACTACAGTCTCCAATGGCTGCAAATAAAGTCCAACTTGATTGTTGGTAAATTAATAAAAGATATTTGGAGTGTTAATCAGGTCCATTTAGATCCACAGTCTCTATCCATAGCTTTTCCAGGTCCATCTAGTTAACATAGGTCTAGAAATCCCATCTGATTTCCAGATGTTTCCCTGATATCAAATAAACAATCATTCATGTAGTGATAATCCTCTCTAGAGGCCAGAACTAAATCATTACTGCTGATGAATAACAGGAAACAAAATATCCAACCAGAATAAACTCACTTTTCTGCTTTAACCTCTAAAATATAAAATATAAAGAACAAAGAAAATCCTCAATCAGGATATAAACTATTATGTTGACCTTTGAACCTCACATTTAAATGCATATTATTCTATTTTCCATCAACTTAATTTTTCCAAATGAAACAGTCACATTAATTTACACAAATATTATTATTATCACATAAACAAAAAGCCAGAAGTGAATTTAATGTCTAGGTTGATATTAATATTGTTGTCTAAATCTGATGAATGATTAACGTTGAAAGAAAAAAGTTTACATGGATTTTGTGATTCCTATTTCAAGCATCACCCAAAATCTCAGGAACAGATATTTCTGCTCTTTAAAGAAGACGGACATTATTCAGGAGGATCAATGATCAGGAACATGTTGGAGGATTGGAC